AGCTAGTAAGTGTCTGAGGCCAGATCTGAACTCAAGATGAGTCTACCTGACTCTAATCCTGCCAGTTTATCCACTGCACCACCTAGCTGCCCCATTTGGTGCATATATTTAATATTGATATCACTTCATTGTCTCTGGTACCTTTTAGCAAGATATAGTTTCCATGCTTATCTCTTTTAATTAGGTCTCTTTTTGCTTTTGTTTTGTCTGAGATCATAAGTGCTACCCCTGCTTTTTTACGTCAACCCTAGGCAAGTCATTTTAAACCTATTTGCCTCAGTATTCTCATCTGTAAAATGAGCTGGAGAAGGAAATGGCAAACCACTCCAGCATCTTTGCCAAGAAAAACCCAAATGGGGTCACAAAGATTCTAACACAACTGAAGACAATTGAACAACCGAAAATTTTCTCCTGCTTTTCCTTCTCTCTTTTTATCCTGTCCCTCCTCACCCTTCTCTTTCCCTTACCCCCTTCCATTCTTGTTCCCTAAAGTGTAAGAAACTGTTACTACCAACTAAGTATGAATATATAGCTATATCTGTATGTATGTATATTTATGTATATATGCATGTGTGTATATGCATATGTGTGTATATATGTACACACGTGTGTGTGTGTGTGTGTGTGTGTATATATTCCCTCCTTAAACCAATTTAAATGTGAGGTTCAAGCATTGCCCCTCCTCACCATTTCCCCCCCGACTATAAAACCTCTTCCTTGCACACCTCCTTTTATGTGAGATAATTTTCTCCATTGTTCCTCTTCCTTCCCGATTCTCACAGGGCATCCCTCTTTCTCACTTATCCATTTTTTTTTTACATCATCCCAACATAATGACTCACTCCCATACCCTCTTTCTATGTAGAATCCTTCTAACTGTTCTAATAATTACAAAGTTGTTAGAAGTTATATCATCTTCCCATATAGAAATGCAAACGGTTTAAACTTATGGAGTCCCTTATGATTTCTCTTTCATGCTTACTTTTGAGTTTTGCATTTCAAAGTCAAATTTTCTATTCGGTTCTGGCCTTTTCATCTGGAATTCTTGAAAGTCCTCTATTTTATTAAAGAATCATTTTACCCCAGCTTTATTAAGCAAATATCATATTCTAAACCCTCTGCTCTGTCACCATGGTAGCTGCTATATCTTGTACGATCCTGACTGTGGCTCCATGATATCTGAACATTTTCTGTCTGCTTGAACTATTTTCTCTAAGACCTGGGATCTCTTTCAGGTGACCAACAATGGATTCCTTCCACTTCTATTTTACCCTCTGGTTTGAGGATAAGGGGAGTTTTCCTTGATAATTTTTTTTTTTGAAATATGATGTCTAGGCTCTTTCTTTGATCATGGCTTTCAGATAGCCAGTAATTCTTAAATTATTTTACCTTGATCTGTTTTCTAGGTCAGTTGTTTTGTTTTGTTTCTGATGGATACTTTACATTTTCTTCATTTTTTTTTTGTTCTTTTTTACTTTGTTTTATTGCTTCTTAATGTCTCATAAAGTCATTAGCTTCTACTTGCCCAATTCTAATTTTAGGAATTTTTTTTAAGGCAATTGGGGTTAAGTGACTTGCCCAGGGTCACACAGCTAGTAGGTGTCAAGTGTTTGGTCTGAGGCCAGATTTGATCTCAAGTCCTCCTGACTTCAGGGCCGGTGCTCTATCCACTACGCCACCTAGCTGCCCCAGGAATTATTTTCTTCAGTGAGCTTCTGTATCCCTTTTTCCATTTGGCCAATTCTGCTTTTTAAGAAATTATTTTCTTCAATATTTTTGTGCTTTTTTTAAAACTAAGCTATTAATTGTCTTTCCATAATTCTCTTCCTTTGTTCTCATTTCATTGCCTAATTTTTCCTCTACCACTCTTATTTGATTTTAAAATTCATTTTTTAGCTCTCATAAACCTTACTGGGCTTGAGTCCAATTCACATTTTTCTTTGAGACTTTGCTTGTAGCTATTTGACTTCATTGTCTTCTTTTGAGTTTTGTGTGTTGATCATCCCTGTCACCATGGTAGATTTTTAGAGTCAGCCTCTTTTTTTTGTTGTTGTTTGCTCATTTTTCCAAAAAAGGACAAAGAAACAAGTCTTCCTGACCCTAGAGCCAACCCCCTCTCCATTATGTGATGGTGACTTTTAATAGGTTTATATATATACACACACACACACACACACACACACACACACACACACACACACACACACACATATATACACATGTATATACACAGGCATTCATATGAACTGGAATATGGCATTAAATATAAGGTGCTTTAGAAAAATTAAAACATTCTATCGTATCAGCTGTTATAGATGGCTGATAGATATGTAGATCTACCTACAGATTTTTACACATATACTATAAAAGAGCAAAGTAAAAAGAGTCTCTAGTTTAAGTAAGATGGTGTGGAGACCAAGAAGTTTCCCCTTTTTGAAATGAAACCAGAGACTACTAATAAATCAACTGTTTATTTCAGCCCTCAGAGGTACAGTACATTTCACACAGTCATTATCCTCTTGTGCCATCCTGGATAAATGTTAAATTACTGAGGCATACAAGTATGTGCTAAGATCAATAGAAAACTAGGAATTCAGACATGGCCTTGATCCCAGAATACACAGCAGGGGATGCCTATAGAGGACAAGGACATAATACGTTGGAAAGCTCTACTTGTGCATCAGCTCACCAGCTGTGATCAGAACTCAATTTTCTCACCCATTTCTGGAAAGAGGTCAGGAAATAAGAAGCTCAAGTAAAAGAAAATGGAAAAAAAAAAGTCCAATGCTGGTAATTCTGTCAATGTGTAAACCGGCCTCGGGCAAATAGCTATACAGGGGAAAAACAAAACAAACCAATCAGGCCAGCAGCAATCTAATAAATTTAAAAGAGAAACCTAAAGCCCCTGAACACTCACAGGGGATATTCATGACTTAGGTAAGAGTAGAATAAATCTAATGAATCCTCTGAGATCTCTACCACCCCAAGTGAAAATTTTGAGCATACCAGACACAATCCGATCAACTATACAGCTAAACCTCTAATGATCTGTCCCAAAGTGAGCCTACCCCACCCAAGAACAAAGGAATAAAAGAAAAGATTTTGGTTTAATATAAGGAATAATAACCATTCTAGAAATCCAAAAGTATATTGGGCAATCTGGGGGGCAATGGGTTCCTCTCACTGAAAATCTTACAAAGATGAGCACTGATTGTGGGTGTATTATGAGAGGCAGAATGGCCTCATACATAGAACACTGAACTCAAAGTCAGGGCAACCCAGGATCAAAACCAAACCTGCCTCACTAGCTATGAGACTCTGAGAACTCTCTTCACCTGGTTGGGACAATTTCCTCATCTGTAAAATGGAAATAAGGTCCTGTATTTCACATGATTTTTGTGAGAATCAAATGAGATAACCCAAAAGTGTCATATAAATGAGACTGATTATAAGAATAAGGCTTTAATTAACCTGTATTCCAGTCTGTTGAGATAAAATAATTATATGTGCTGAAAAGATGTTTCTGATAAACATAGGTAGTTAGGAACATAAACGAGGGAAAAAAATTGCCAATTAGCCTTCTCTTTTTTATAAATACCAATCAATACTGTAGTTTATTTTGTTTTCCCAATCAATGTCCTTCAAGCTAAGTGGTCCTTGAGGAGTATCACTTCTCTAGAAGTTACACGAAATTATGAAAACCATAATAATCTGCGGGTATTCTGAATCAGTTCCTACATGGGAGAAAGAATATTAGGACAGTAGTGAATAGAGAACCGGCCCTGGAGTCAGGAGGATGTGAGTTCAAATCTGGCCTTAGACACTTGACACTTCCTAGCTGTGTGACCCTGGACAAGTCACTTAACCCCAATCGCAAGAAGAAGGAGGAAGGAAGAAGAAGGAAGGAGGAAAAGGAAAAGAAAGAGAAGGAAGAGGAAGAGGAGGAAAAGAAAGAAAAGGAGGAGAAGAAGAAATAGGACCAGGACAGTAAGACAACTTATTCTCCTTAAACAAAACAGAACAAAACCAAAAATAAACCACTTTATACCATAACAATGAGATCTGATGAGCAATTTTTGAAAATCTGTCTCCTCTATATAGGCTATATATGGGGGCTTCAGCATGGAGTTTGCTTGTTTGTTTTTTTTTAATTCAATTTGCTTTTTTTTAACAAAAGTATGCATCTAGAAGACAGTTCTCACCTAGTAGCACATATATTTCATTTCTAAATTAATCAATCAATACCACTTATTAAACACCTACTTACTGCAAAGCATTGAGGATATAAAGGCAACAAATGAAAAACGACTGTCCTAAAGGAACTTACACTCTCTTGGGGGATGATATTAAAATACAGAAATATAAATTATACTATATACTGATGAAAGAAGTTCTTGTTGTTCAGTATTTTTTCAGTTATCTGACTCTTCCTGACCCCATTTGGGGTTTTCTTATTTATTTTTAGTTTTCAACATTGGCTTTTATACGATTCTGTAAGATTTTTTTTGGGGGGGGGTGGCTAGGCAATGGGGTTAAGTGACTTGCCCAGGGTCACACACCTAGGAAGTGTCTAAAGACAGCTGTGAACTCCAGGCTCAGCACTCTATCCATTGCATCACCTAGACCCCCAAAGAAGTCACTAGAAGTTGGTAAAATATGATGGCCTTCACCTAACTATAGTAAGCAAACCACTGAGGGATTTTTCCAGATAATTTTACAATTTTAAGTGTCATAAACTGTTCCCTACGTTAAAGAATGAAGGTAAGTAAAAGACATTTAAAACTTTAAAAAAGAAAGCTTAGTGAGCTACATAGATTTTATATAGCAGAAAACAATTCAAGCCAACAAACATTTCTTAAAGATCTTCTTTGTATAAGGCACTGTTATGGATACAAAGTTGAAAATGAAACAGTCTTTGCCCACAAGGAGCTTATAACCTCATTTTCACACTATCACAGGGCTGAAATGAGAAAGATGTAACATAAAGAGAGCCAACTTACCAATGGGTCATTGATTGGTACGTGGCAGGGTATCACCACCTTGAATAAAAAAAAAATAATAACAAAATAAATAAGAGACACTTTTAAAAACTCTTCCCAACTGGAATCCATCCAGTGTCTTTAAGTTACACTCCCCATTAAACAGGAAAGAAAAAGAATCTAAGAATAGCTAATGGGAGTTCATATGATTTAAGGAAAAGCATCAATAAAGTGATAATTCATCTAAATTCAGGAAGAAACTAAATTAAGGAGGAGACAAAGGAAGAACTGAATTTAAGCTCTACTTTTAAGAAGTGTTCTCTTGACCTAGGTGACTTATTGATTGAATACTGAATGCTAAGACACTCCTAAAAGGCTAGGTAAGAGAGGGGGAAAGATGTACAATAAAGTATCTAAATACCATATTCTAAATATAGAATGATTAAAAAAAAAACAACTGTGACAGCAACAATTAAGAGCATATGTGGAATTGCACTGGACGCAGAGTTCAGTTGAAGTTAGGGAACTCCAATCAGATTTCCTGATAATAACACCTCACACTTAGAAAGCACTTGAAGATTTACAAAGCATTTTATATATGTTGTCTCATTTGAATGCCATAACTCCATGAGGTAGGTGTTATTATCATCCATCATTTTACAGAAGAGGAAACAGAGGCAGAAAGAGACTGAATGACTTGCCCAGAGTCACACAGAGCCAATGTCAGAGGTAGGTCTGAAACTCAGGTCTTCTTGACTTCAAATCCCATAATTTTACCTACTATGCCAATCATCTTAGGTCAACTCTGCCTAAAAATCTCATTTCTGTAACTGGTGGTTCCAGGAGCCAGGAGATTACTGAGTACTGGGAGGATGCTGAAGGGATGGAGTGGGGAACTTTCAGGGGCAGAGAGAGTGGAGGAAGATGAGTGACCTACAACCTCCCTCTCCAACAAAGAAATAATAAAAAAAAAAAGCCTACAGGGATATAGGTCAGGTGAAGCCTGCAAGATATGAGGTATAAAACAATATCTTCCAGGCAACAGAAGGAGGATGAAAACTGCGGCCACCTTCAAAGCCCTTTCATGTCAGCATCTTGGAGAAAAACAAAACCAAGCTTCATATAACCCACTCTATTTCAGCTCTGGCCAGGCTTTAATTATGAGCGATGATGATGATAATGATGGAGGAGGAGAAAAAAGAGAGAGGAGAGGAAACAGAGAGGGAGGGGGAGGGGAGACAGAGACACAGAGAGAGATGGACAGAGACACAGAGACAGAGAGAGAGATATGACAGTTTTTCTGTTATCTACAAAACAGGTTATAAAATATATTTACATCCCTAATCCCAAAACTGATTTACAAACATTGTCTCCCCAACACCTCTCAACTCACTACATGGAACTTTATAGCTGAAAAGGCATAGAACAAACTGATTGCAAAGCCTAAATCATCTTTTGAGGCTTTTCTATTTGAAAAGCTAGTTTTCATACCTCTATGTACAGTATCCCAAAAGGATAGTGTGGCAATTTGGTACAGAAGAAAGGATGTGAGACTGGGAGTTAGGACAGACAGTTCAAATGCTAGCTCTGCCATTTAGTAACCTTTCTGATCTTGACCAATCACTGTCCCTTCTCTGGGACTCAGTTTCTACACCTATTATAATATCTAGCATTTATATAAGCTTTTTTTTTTTAAAAAGCTTTACAAATACTACTTCACTTTATCCTTGTAACAAGACTGGAAGGTAGTTGCTAGTATTAATCCCCTTTTTACAGTTGAGGAAACAGAAGCTGATAGAGATTAAAATGACTTGCCCAGGACAACATGGCTAGTCATGGTCTGAGGTCACATTTGAACTCAGTTCTTTCTGACTCTAGTAATAAGCAAAGCCCTTGGTAAATTAAGTGCTCTAGAGTACTCCTTTTAATTGACTGGGACATTCAACTACATGATCTATATATGTAAATACTTATCTAGCTAGCTATCCCTGTATACATATATATCCCTCTCTTCCCCTTCTCCTTCTTCCTCCCTTTCTATACATGTGTGTATATATACTCAATTAGAAATTTAAAAGTCTCACTATTAATATGAAAATAGTTTTGAACTTTTGCCCCCCTGAATAGCTCTCAAGAACCCCAAGGGATCCCCAGACCATGTTTTGAGAACCACAGATTTAGAAGTTAGCTCTGGAACTAAGCTTTGAGAGAAACCAGGAACTCTTAAGAGGCAGAGATGAGAAGAGAACACATTCCAGGCATGGGGGAAAAGCTAGCACAAAGGGATAGAGACAGACAGGAGATGGAGTTTCTTGTGTGAAAAATAGCAACTAGACCAGCATGGCTGGATTGGAGGGTGCACAGAGGGGCCCAGTATGTGAAAGCAGAAAGGGGTTAAGTTGTGAAGTGTTATAAATGGGTTGGTATTTTTAAATATTTTTGTTTAGAGAAATGCATTCCTTAGTGAAGTCATCACAAATATTTTTAACTTAACATTATCAAGTACCAAAGAACATATGTGTGTAGATACATGTATATATATGTAATGATATCCATATATATACTATGTAAATGAATGTATACACACACACACACACACACACACAAGTTTTTAAGGCTGCCCAAATGTTCCTTTTTCATGAATTGTCTCTCTGGTACTCATTTAGTATTGCTGCCCACCCTCTATGTAGAATTAGAGAGTTGGTCCACTACATGGCCAGATCCTTAACTAGTGTTCTCCTGGGCATCCCCTTTAGCCTCAACAGCAAGTCCCCAAGAACTAGCCCAGTGTGGCAGGCAGGAAAGGCTTCAGAGGACAAAGGACAAATTCTAAGCTTCAGAGTCGTCCCTGGGTGTATCCCTATTCGTCAGGGCCAGAGATCACAAAACAATGCTTATCACTTGAATCAATGTATTTGCATAACACATGACTAGATGTCTAACCATCAAAACAATCTAAGGTATTTACAGTTTAGGAGCTTGATTAGGGAGCCAACATCCATACCAGAACCAATGAATTTACATGGACACAGAGGGCTGTTTTCTTAACAAGGATGGCATTATCACCTGACTAGTGTCAATGGTCAAAGTCACAGGCTCTCTCATGTTTGCTGACAAATCTCAGTAGCAATTACAGGGTCAGCAAAATGACGTTGCAATTGGCACAATGGGTGGAGTGCTGGACCTGGAGTCAGAGAGACCTGAGTTCAAATCCTGCTTCAGGCACATAAGAATTACATAAGATAACCTACATAATGTAAAATGCTTTGAAAAACTTATAGCACTCTTATATTGGTAAGGCAATCATGTGACATAAAGTAATGCTAAATAATGACAAAGAGTTGGGAAAATAGGGCAGTTGGTTTAGTCCTACAGAATGACAAGGATCTAAAATAGAAATTATCAAAAAAAAAAAAATTCTTAATTATAACAACATGTCATCCATCCCACAGAGCTAGGAAATGAGGTATTATCTACACAAATAAAATTTTCAAATAATTGAAGTTTGTCCCTTCGATGGCGAGAAGTTCATTAGGCATTTTTAAGTCATTTGGGATAGAAACTGTTCAACTATTTAATTATACTTTTCCCAGACTTCTAAAGTAGAGAACCTTGACAAGTCTGAAGTTTTCTTGATGACTCATGATGATTGTGGTAAATATTAAGTATTGCACTAAACAATGATACTGTCCTGTGTTCATTTGTCTGTTTTTTAGTTTGTTTGCCTCCTCCCAGCATGTCAAACCATCAGGTTTGTCACTTCTCCTACTCCATGAATCAGGCTTCTCATTTATCCTCTTATTATTATGCTGCTTCTAATTTGCTATGGGTAGATAAACCAGGTAATTCAGGTTGTTAAATAGGGCATGATGAATAAATCAATAAGGCAATGAAAAAAGACCTAAGGCATAAAGGACATGGCGTTAAAGTAGAGGCTTTGAAGTAGCTCATTTTCTGAGTTCACAGAATCACAGGGTTAGGAAGAATCTAAAAGTCCAGTCCTTACTTGGAACAGAAACACCATCTCTACTGTTCCCCAGGGGAATTTCAGTGACTGTTTGAACACCTTCAGTGAAGTGTAATTGTCACTGAAGGCAGCACAATTCCATATCAGAATTGTTCTAATTGCTAAGATATTGAGCTAAAATCCCCTCTGGAGCCAAATAGTACAAGTCCAATTCCTATCTAGCCTGATAAAGCCTTCAAGTAATTAAATCTTAACTCTTCCTCTGTCTCCAAATAGTCTCTCTCCAGTTCTTGGTTTTGACTTGCCTTATCATCTCAGTCAGGGGCAGCTAGATGGCAGAGTGGATAGAACTCCAGGCCTGGAGTCAGGAGGACTCATGTTCCTGAATTCAAATCCAGCCTCAGACACTTAATAGCTGTGTAACCCTGGGCAAGTCACTTAATTGTGTTTGCCACAGTTTCCTCATCTGTAAAATGAGCTGAGGTAGGAAATGGCAAATCACTCCAATATCTTTGCCCAGAAAACCCCAAATGGAGTCACTAAGCATCGAATACAACTGAAAAACAACTGAACAACAACCACCATCTCACATACTATGTGTCTGCTCATTACAAGTTTGACATCTGGATCACTGAGGTATATATACAGAATAGAGTATACTTTTTTGCTTTGTTTTTTAAATTTTGCCTTCTTTTTTATGAAACTTCAATGATCATTTATTTCCCCATTGGTTTCACTTGCTTTGGGCTTATCTTTAACACTTATAAGGAATTTAATAATGTTGAATCCATTGGGAAGTGATAATATACTCACTATATACACAGGGAAAATAGGCATTTAGCACATCACAGGAACTCAGTAAATATTGAATAAATATTTATTAAGTACACACTATATTGCTGTACCAAAGTCATAAATTTCCCTGAATTACAGAAATTAGCAAATCCCTACTTTTTCGTCCTATTCTGATATTTCAGATTATCTCTGTCCCCCATTCTCCAATTTCGACTCTCTTCATCCATCTCTTTGTTTGGCACCAAAATGAACTCATTGGGATTTTCTATCATGCCCCAGAAACCTCTTCATCTTGGAA